ACACTCTTTTTTCCAGAGTCAATGCCCTTGAATCACTAAGGCAAGCGCTTAGCTCATACATCCGGAGGACAGGGCAGGGCATTATAATGGATGAAGAGAAAGATAAAGAAATGGTTGCTTCTCTTTTGGAATTTAAGGCTTCTCTTGACACTATATGGGAAGAAAGCTTTTTCAAGAATGAAGTATTCTGCAACACCATAAAGGATGCCTTCGAGCATTTAATTAATCTCCGACAGGTAGTCTTTTATCTAATTGACTTTTCCCGTGTTTGCTTGTGTTTCTTTTCCTTCATATTACAACAGGAAATCTTCGACGTGGTTTCAAGTGATGCGACATAAGAAAGGCAGAATTTAGCAAAGAAATGATACTAGATACATGATAAGAGTTTGGATAAGTTTTTGTTATAACATTTAATAACCATCTATAGATTTATTGTCTTTCAGTTGGATGTAGCCAGTTTAATTCCATTTACATTCCCCCCTTCCCCACTTTTTCCAGTGTGTTTTGAATTCAAGTTTAATGCACTGCTCATTACAGATCTAAATAGACATGTTTGATCAAGAGTTTTTTTTTTTTTTTTTTTTCCTATGTAGAACCGACCTGCTGAGCTGATAGCAAAGTTTTTGGACGAGAAGCTTCGTGCTGGGAATAAAGGTACCTCTGAAGAGGAATTGGAGGGAATGCTTGACAAAGTCTTGGTTTTATTCAGGTTTATACAGGTAAGATTGAAGTGTAATTGTCCAAATTAATGAGTTGATTCCTGAGTTAACTAGCATTTCTTGTAAACATGTTTTCTCTTATCCATGCTTGCAAACCCTTGTTACTTAGTTGCTCGTGTCTGTCTAGATACTGATTTAAGGTTCTTTTTTTTTTTAATCCAGGGTAAGGACGTGTTTGAAGCATTTTATAAGAAAGATCTTGCAAAAAGGCTTCTTTTGGGAAAGAGTGCTTCTATTGACGCAGAGAAGTCTATGATTTCCAAGGTAAATAATGGATTTTGATTTTCTATGACTTGTATTTAAATGAGATCTCTGTCACTTGATTGTACTGACCAAATTTCATCTCTGTACAGCTGAAGACCGAGTGTGGCAGTCAGTTTACAAACAAACTCGAAGGAATGTTTAAGGTATGTATATTTTCTAAGTCATATATTTAATCACAGTGATTAATTATTATTGCCTCCAGTATTTCATGCCAAAATTGGGGTTGGCAGAATTTGTCCTTGCTGATCTACTTTTCTTTGGATTGACAAGATGCATCAGATTAACTTTTATAGAGTGCAATTTTTAAGGCATAAAAAAGTGAGGTCAAGATTGTCTGGGTTGATTAGTTCTTAAACTTATTCCAGGCCCAACGTTGCTTATCTCTGTAGGATGTAAAATATGGAAAAGGATCTCAAACAGGCTTGTTTAACTGCTAAGTTTAATGAATTCTTGTATTAATTTAAGCAACTCCATGTTACATGCTGGATTCTGGAAGGTGGTGTAATTGACAGCATGATTAACATATTTTCTAGGCTTTACTTTTTCGCTGTTATCTTTTGGCGAGTACTCTTGCTGGATTTTGTTAAAGATTATAGATTTGATTAGCTGTGCAAAGCACTATTTGGATACATGAAACAAGTATCTTGAAGAAATGTGATGGCCATTAATTGATCACAATCTGCGTTACCACATCAGGGGGTCTAAGTGGCCATTTTGCTCGTGTAACACTATGATTAGTACTTGGGAAGGAAACTAGGGAGGATGGATTAGGGTATGTTGCGAAAGGAATGAAAAGTAGGAAGGATGGAGAGGAGTGTTTTCTTCTCTCGTGTTGTTTGGTATGCATCGTAGGAGGAAAGGGTAGTCGAAACGAAGGAACAATTGGATTATCATTCTGAATGTTTTACTTTATTTGTTTTCTGTTTTTCTTGGGTTCGATTCTTGAATCACATTATTCCTAGCCCATTGTGAGGCTAAGCGGACCCCCCCACCCTCCTCTCCCCTCTTAGCGTACATAATATTGTTTGTTCCAAAAAAAAAAAAACCATATTTGTTGATGTTATGGGTTGTAGTTTTTTTTTCTTTTCTTTGGTGGGCAACAGGGGAAAAGTAAATATTATAGCACTGGGCTGAGGTCAACAAAGTCCATTTGTATATGAGCTCTTGTAGTTAGTTTGGGATTCATAAGCACTTTATGTATCATCTACTTTCTTCAGTTCTTCTCAAAATCATATTTACTTTATATAGGGATGGATTTGTGATTCACATGTGACCAGAGATATATGTAAGGGTATTAAATTCTTTCATTGCATGTACATCTTTTCAGGATATTGAACTCTCAAAAGAGATAAACGAGTCCTTCAGACAATCATCCCAGGCCAGGACAAAACTCCCATCAGGGATTGAGATGAGTGTTCATGTCCTTACAACTGGGTATGCTTCAAATTATTTTGTTATTTCCTATAATAGTTGGATCTACTTTAAAACTGTTTATAAAGTTTGGTGAATTTGATTTAAATGTCATATCCAACTAATTCTTCCTCATTGCATTCTATCAAACAAGATATATACTATATTTAAACGTATTAGTTTGTGCATAGACCTTGTTATTAAGAATATACATTTTAGTGAGAGAACATATGGAACCTATTGCGAAGAACTTAACTTATAACCTGACTTTTATTTTTCTTACAATTTTCTCCATATCTGCTAGGAGTTCTAAGTGGTGCTTTGGTACAGGTACTGGCCAACTTATCCTCCCATGGATGTTAGACTTCCTCATGAATTGAATGTATACCAGGTAAGTACATGCTACTCAACAGATGCTTTCATTACTGGCAAGGTTATTGTGCTTAGTAAATCTTCTGACTCATTTTTCATTGTCCAACAGGATATCTTCAAGGAGTTTTACCTAAGCAAGTACAGTGGTAGGCGTTTAATGTGGCAAAATTCATTAGGTCACTGTGTCTTGAAAGCAGATTTTCCTAAAGGCAAAAAGGAGCTTGCAGTTTCTCTGTTTCAGGTTGGTCACTTCTAGGCCATTATGCTTATGTTTTCCAGCATTAATTCTTTGTTATCGAGTAGAATTCTTTAAATTCTACTTGTGTAAGTGATTTAACTATATTCATTTGGTTTGCCAGACTGTTGTCTTGATGCTGTTTAATGACGCTGAGAAGCTAAGCCTTGAAGACATTAAGGATTCAACTGGCATTGAGGATAAGGAACTCAGAAGAACTCTGCAGTCCCTTGCATGTGGAAAAGTTCGTGTCCTACAAAAGGTGGGTGCTTGGATGAATTTCCAGATTCATATGCAAAATTTCTATCTGTAACATAATTGGAAATGTTGGGTCGTATCCTTACTTTTTGTCTTTTTCCTTTTTCTAATTTGTGCTATAGTTTCCCAAAGGGAGAGACGTGGATGATGGTGATACATTTACATTCAATGACACTTTCATTGCTCCTCTCTACCGCATAAAGGTAAATTTGATTTGTACGTCCATTAGCCCAAATGAACAATGGTTATCAAAAAGGTCTCAAGCTGCATATGCAGAAAACACGTCTAAATCTGAGAAGTTATAAAAGTGAATTTGTCTATATGACAATATTGTCCTCTCAGTTTTCTCCTGTGCTTTAAAAACCACTCAGGTTCACTGCAGGGTGACCTTATTTTGGACCACTCCCATGATGTTGCTTACATTATTTGATGGATGCAGGTGAATGCGATCCAAATGAAGGAAACAGTGGAGGAGAACACAAGCACCACTGAAAGAGTATTCCAAGACCGCCAATATCAGGTCAAACTTTCTTTGGGTTTCAGCTTTTTCCCTATTTCGCATGCTGGTCACATCCGAATGATTGTTATCTCTTAGATTGAAAATTTTGTGTAACCCGGTGCATTGCAGGTTGATGCTGCTATTGTTCGGATAATGAAAACTAGGAAGGTGCTTAGTCACACTCTTCTGATAACAGAACTGTTCCAACAGGTAAGTAAAAATTCATTTGAATTTTTCATTCAAATCCATTCAGTTATATAAATCAGCATTTACGGGCCTGGAAATAAGGAATGAGTAAGGAAAAATATTGAGGGAAATTGTGTGGTGTTGGTGTTTGTTCTGGTGAGCAGCTTAAATTTCCGATAAAGCCGGCGGATTTGAAGAAAAGGATTGAAAGCCTGATTGACCGGGAGTATCTAGAACGGGACAAGAACAACCCTCAAATTTACAACTACCTAGCATAATAAAGGAAACCCTGCAGATTTTGAAGCTTTCTCCTCTGTAAATGACACGGGAAAGACTTCTACCATCTTCGGGAGGGAAGACACAGGATGGTACGGTCCAGACCCGTCTGATTCATGTACAGCGACTTGTAGTTCTTATCTTTCTCTTAAATTTTTGTTGGCGGTCGATACTTGATTGTAAAGAATATTTAATCTTCGTTTTCAGATCTGTATTCCTGCGAAAAGAGTCGGACTGCGTGAATGAATTGCGGATTTTTTCCTTCTTATGAAATAGGGTAATATGTAACAAAGTAAAAAAAAAAAAAAAAGAAGAATATCTTGACACTCCTGGTAGTTTCGTTTCTTCTCTGTTCGAGTGTTGTTGTATGTGTGACAAACGCGTCTTTTGGCACACGTTTCCTTTTCTACAATCGCATTTTTCACTCCGTTTTTACTCGGTTTTGTGAATTTCAATTTTCAACCAAAAATCTTTTGTAGAATTTTCGCTGCACCATAAGCTTCCCAAATTCTCGTGCCTTGAATGTCAAGTCGACGAAAATCCGCTTCCGGTTGTATCGGTTTATACAACAATGCGACAAGGATAGTTACTCACCATCGATTTCGACCGCGAATCCTTACTCGGATTTGCACATTCCCCTAAACAATCACGATTCATACAACCGATTTTACTTAGTGGAATAAAGCATGATTGTTGTCGATAAATAACCGCGATCCCTGAAGTTATTGTACTAATTTAGCCTTGAGAATTGATCTTTGCTTGAAGACCAGTCCCACCGACGGAGGGCATAAAAGCACATTTCTCACTGTAATTCCATTTCATACAAAATTAGACAATTACATTGATTTTCCTCCATTTTAATTTTAACCAAAATAATAAATAATAACAAAATACAAAAGAAAAATTGAAAGCAACAACGTAATTGTATGATGGGAAAAGGAAAAGGAAGCCGATCAGACGGCCCTGATGGCATCGGAATGAGAAGAAGCTGCGATGGCAGCGGCGCTTTTGGGATCCTCCGCCTCGAGATCCGCGGCGGTGTTGTTGAGGGCGGGAGGGTTGAGAGGAGCGCTGATGTCGGCGGAAACGCTGCCGTCGTCGTCGGGATCGTAGTCGGGATTGAGGCTGCGATCGATGGCTTGGCGGCCCTGTTCGAGGCAAGGTTTGCAGGCAATCTCGATGGCGATCCAACCGAGAACCACACCCACTATCGCAATCACTGAGGCCGTTATTGCCCCCATTTTCTTCTTCTCCTTTCCTCTCTGCGGTTCTGCTTCGTCGATTCTCTTCACTCTCGATGCTCAACTGACAACGGTGTCATTTTCTTCAACCTTGCGCCAACGAAGAGTGCATTTGATAAAGCCATCTGATTGGGCTATACTCACCACCACCCAACCCTCATCAAAGCCCACTTATTGGCCCATTGTTTATTAAACAAAAGATATTTTTATCATTTTGGTTTTTATTTAACATAATTTTTCACGGAATGATCAAAATGATTGATAATAAACAAAATTAGGTACCACTCCTATCGATTTCAAATATGAAGAACCAAACGAAAAGTTATGATAATTTCAGAGATCATTTTAACTAAAAAATTGGTAAACTACAATGAACAACTAAGAAACCCAATACAAGCCAGTACACCGTACACGGTAAAAATTTAGGAAAGCAAGCAACCATTTACAGTTTACCACTTTGGAGAACGTTGAGGTACAATTGACACTTCGCTTTCAGTAACAATCATAGGCACTTTGTTTCACAATAACCCCACATAATGCATCCAATTTTCTGAGATTCTAAAGTCAAAGTATGTCTGCTTAATTTAACGATCGGGTGTGCACTAAATTTCTTTAGAGAATTTAACTGGTGAAGCAAAGTCACTTATAACGCAATATATACTAAACATTGATGTACAGTAGGAGTCAAGCTTCTTCTGCTTTTACTGCTTTTTGGTAAATAGCTCACATTCACAAAACTCACATATCCCTCGTTTCATACCCGTCTCTCCCTCTCTCCCTCTCTCTCTCTCATCACATGGATAGCTCATGTGATGAGAGAGAATGAGAGCGGTATGAAACAAGGGCTATGAGAGTTTCTCCCCTCACAAGACTCTTCAACTCCAAGCTGTATGTAAACTGGTAGCACCAGCTGTTGCCTCATCCTCTCTGTTGTGGTGTCCTTTTCAACCCCAAATCCAGCTCTTCTCAACCACAAATACCACAAATGCTCCATAACTCCCAATTATTGAACAATCCTGGAACTCAATTAAGGCCATGGCCCTCCAACAGTTTGGTTCCAGCCTTCCAGGACAGCTATACCTACCTTCACCCTTTTCTTTGAAGCTCACACAACTTTGTGATCAATCCAGATGTCGATCTCCATAACTGCAAAGCGCTGAAAAATCTGATGCAGCGCCCTATCACGAAAGCAACTTGTCCAAGGGTTTACTAAAATCACGTACAAAAACACTATGGACATTGTAAACCAAAGAAAATCTTGGAGGATTACGTAAACCTAGCATCTACTCCATTTGGAATATGATTATGCAGTCATTTGTTCAAACGACACCCAATAAGGAGCAAAGGTAGCTAGCTCGACTGAATCATATGTCACATAGTGGCCCAATAGAGAAAAGCCTCGAGAATAAGATCTTAGGCATACATCAGAGGAAAAACTACTAAGGAAAATAGAGATTATATGCAGGAGGGTAAGAAATCACTTGCAACTTGACATTTAGCCTGACGCAGAAGATGCTGTAGGGAAAGATGATAATCAAGAGACAAACTGAACATGATGCTTGAACCGAGTATAAGGTTCCACGCTTAGTATAGAAATAAATAAGATACATCAATACTAAGCTAACACTTTGTAAAAGAACAATGGTTCACACTTACCCACTTGATGCATTGCCGACCTCATTCTTACGATGCTTGAAGTTCATTGACTTCATGCTTTGGTTTTGATCAGAATTCTCAAAATCGAAATATCAAACTGTCACTAAATAGGCACTTACTGAAAACAAGGTTACGGAATACAGCACAAACCAGTTAATAGAGGAAGTTGATACAGAGTAACTACTGGTTTCGGTACTGAATAAACTAGTTTCTCTGTTGCAAAGATATATAGTATTCAATAGTGCCAAATATATGTCTGAAAAAAATAGTGCCAAATATAAAGTTCGTCCGAAAACATGGGGAAAATATCTGGGGTATCCAAGCAAGAGTACAACAGTATACACAACAAACAATGAGAAATCAAGGTAAGAAAGGAAGAGAAAACAAAAGATTAACAAGCATATAAACAGAGGAAAAACAACCATATACTTGAATACATTCCAATAACACAAAGCCATTTTACACACATCCATTCGCTTTTTACAGCTTAGGTATTTTATATAACCAGAACTTATTCAAGGACATACAAAGTGGCAGAACATGACGAAAGAGATTGACAAGCTAAGCAAACAGGACCTGTGAACTTGAGGGCGTTAAGTCAGAGAAACAATGCGGCGCATCAACCACATTCCATCGAACACCAAAGCTCCACTTCTTCTCGCAAGTTCCTTTACAGCTAACCCTTGAGATTTGACCCACAGCAACATGAAGGTTCCTACCCACAACATATATCATGCAATCACAGGCATTAACAGCAAAGGGTTTACAGATCTGCTCTGGCAAAGGGGGTCCTTCTATTGGTTCCCAAGAATCAGTATCCGCATCATAAACCTTAAGCTTCATCCTTTCAAGCTCTGAGACCACAAATAAATGGCCATAAATCACCACACTTGAACCTGTCCAGCCTTCTCTCAGTCCAACAGCCATGCTTTCCCAATTATTGGCTCTCGGGTCATAAACCTGACCCCTGGGAGAGACAAAGAAAGGCCACAACCAGCCTTCTGTAACAAGAAGCTTTCCATTGAGAACTGCTGCATCATAAGAGGCCATATTTGCTCCCATGCTAGCTATGGGATGCCAACACCCTTTAACAGGATCCAAAACCTCAGCTGAGTCAAGCTCAAAAAGATCTGAACTGTTTCCTCCAGCCACATAAATCTTCCCATCAATAACTCCACTTGCAAAAAAAGACCTAGCACTTATCATCTGATTTATTACAGTCCACCGATTCTTCTGAACTTCGTATTTCAGGACCAAGTCAAGCGGACAATCCACATCAGAGACCATACCACCGCAAATAAAGAGAGTTCCTTCACGGGGCATCGAAACACATCTGAAGCCATGGGGAAAAACCTTGTCTCTGCAGGGCATGGGAGGGATAGTGTGCCAAGAGAAATTAGTGAGATCAAGAACCTGCCACTGAATCCTTCCAGTGCACTTGTGAAAGGCAAAGACAAAAAGCCAAGGGTCTTTGAAGCCTAATTCTTTTCTTCGAGTGAAAAACCGCTCTTTACTACCAAACAATAGATGCCAACGCTTGCAGACAGCTTTGCTTGCTGTGTGGGTTTCGACTGGAACCCGAAGGAGACAGTTAAGTGCAACATCATCAGGAAGGCCAGGAATGAGGGGGTTTTCCTCAAGAGATAACTCTAATTCCGGGGAAGGATTCAACAACGAAGACTGGATAACCGCTAACCTAAACTTCGGGGATAATGCAATTTGAGAATCCCCTAGCTTGTGTACCGGCGCCTGTTGGGAGGACAATCTAACCCGTTGCATATTTCCCCGTTTGAGCAAAATATACCAAAACCCTTACTTTACATGCAACTTAGTTCCTATATTTCGTCTCCGATAATCTTACTAAGAAAAGTACTTATCTTTCACAGATTTTGTGCAAATAAAGCAATCCCACTATCCAAATTACAGCAGCAAATTATTTTACATGATCATAATCTAAACATCCAAACTTAACTCACATGTATGAACAAATCATAACTTTGTTTTTCTATACACACAATCACCACTATCTCCAATTAAAACACCAAATTCAAAACCAAAAGCTATGAAATTTGATCCCAAGATGAAAAAACAGAAAACACCCAAAATTCACACTACCTGATAAACCAAAAATACCTCAAAAAGCAGCTCAAAATCCAAGCTTTTGTCCTTTAGCACAAAAAATCCAACCGCCGAAAAAAACCAGTTCGGAAAAATCACACAGAATCGAACTTTTTGTTACCTTTTCAGCTTCAACATTCATCAAACACTAAACCCAGAAGAACACAAACAAGCTGTACAACTTATGAACAGAAGCAGCGTAGGAGAGATAAAGAAGGAAGAGAGAGAACGTGGCAAGAAGAACAATAACTTACAACCAGAAAAGGGTTGAAAGATTGTTATATAAAGATGGTGACTTGATGAGATTTAGAGAGGTCTGCTTTTTGCATTTGCATCCAAATAGGAAGAGCAGGTGGTGACCCATCAGCCCACTCTTCCTCCATGAACTAAGATTATTTATCATGTGGCAAACATGGTTCTTTGCCGCTAGATTAAGGAATAACCACGCGCCCAATGACCGAGTAAAAATACACATGGGAGAAAAGACCGGGGAAATGTTTTGGAAGAAGTTGGAGAGTGATTTGCACGCTCCTTGATGAAAGTGGAAGAGGTTGTACACTTACAAAGAAATATTGAAAAGGAGATTTGACTATAGAATAAGATAAATGCTAACCTGTTACCCAAAAAAAAAAAAAAGATAAATGCTAACCCTTTGCTGATGTGTTTATTGGAGTACGATTCTCTCCGCTATGTTTTTTTAGATCCATTTTTATTTGAACGATTACAATTAAACCAAATCAACATTTTTCATTGACGTTTCTATAAGAGAAACAAAGAAGAAAGTGAGATAGGAGTTGAAGGGAGGAGATTTGGAGATGAGAGAATCCTAATCTACGTTTGTTTTAGCTCCATAGCTCCAAGTGTTGTTTTTAATTGATAATTTAAGTTCAATTCTAGCAGCTGGGTGGTTTACCGAAACATTCATTTTTATTCTTCACACATTTTTTTTGTTAATTTTGTTAATTTTGTCATTTGGTCTCTCTCAATTTATTCGATTCAACGGCCAAAAATTAATAAAAGTGTGAAAAGTAAAAAAAGATGTGTAGTTAGCACCACTCTTATTTGAACTCTACTTATTTTCGTAGTTCTCATTATCTACTTTTATTCAAACATTTGACGTAACATAATCTTAACGCGTTACTTATCGTACAGTCTTAAAAGCTTGAATATTTCATTTTCGATTTTTTGTATAAGATATAAATATCGTACCTCTTGCACGTTAACACAAATTTTCGAATAAAGATCAGAATCAGAGTTATGATTTCATGCAAAAATAGAATAAGTTCTCAACTCTCTATCATGTAAATTCCCATATGATATTCTCCTTTTCTAAGAAGAAAAGAATTTTGGTGTGATTAAACCTTGGAGTTGGAGGTACCACAATGCTAAAGGAGAAAGATACCATTATCCTCCTTTAACAAAAAGGGAAGAAAGAGGATGTCTCATTAACCAAAAAAGAAAGAGATAGAAAAGTGGTGTTTACATCCATTTGCTATGATAAGGTTCTACTTCGTCATGCATTACAACGATCTGAACTGTCTATATTTTAGTATATCTTGCATAGATCATCCTTACGAAAAAAATTAGATAAATCCAAAATCACTGGACATTCATTTATAATGAAAAAAAAAAGATGAATACGATTCTACAAAGAAACATGAAAGAGATTGTTTGGATCATTAAAATACATTACGAAATGAATCCTACAAAAACGCATATCAAAAGCGTGTGTTCTCAAGTCCTAACCCCATAAATAAAAGGCTACAAATATCAAATATGTTGGTGAGGAATAAACTTAGAGATACGTTTTGTCTTGACTCTTTTAGAGATGATACTGATAACGAAAGAAATACAAGTGGGAATGAAACCGAATCCACACAAATCGTGCTTGCTCACAACACCTACCACCTACCACCTACCACCCCAAAACTGCAATTTTAATTTTTATTAGGGAAAACTGTGTCATTTTACTCAAAAATCCCTTTATACCAAGTTTGCAGACAATTTCAAAGAAAAATACAAATTGGGTTTGTCTGCTGAATTTAGGAAGATACCACTGAAAGATAGAGACTGTCACCAAACCAAACCACATTGTTAATAATCTGGTTTTGGTCAGAAAAGAACAATTAACTATCAAAGCAACCGGTCTTATTAGCGAGAAAAAACTTGGCTTCGTAGGTTCAAACACTCACGTTTTATGTCTCCCTCATCACCTAACATGTCATGCGAAGATAGAGATAGAGAGCATAATTTACCAATTCTCACCGTACTCAGCCGGATAGGATAAATTTCCAATAAGAAGCTATAGCTTCTCTTGACTGATGACTGCAACTGCTCATTAACAACCTTGATCATGATCTGCAATCTGCACATAAACAGAATAACGTCCAATCGACCAAGAAAGAAAAAGAAAGCAGCAGTAAGTTTCCTGCAATGACTCCATAAAAATAATGCAACGAAGGTCTAAACAAGATTCTCTAAGGGGAAAAAAAAACAGCCCTAAGATGCTTAGCGTGGTCACTTTAGACTCCCAAATCAGTGTTGTAGCTCCATTTGCCATCCCATCTGCCACTGCATTCTTCTCTCTATAGACATGCAGTAATGTACAGTGTTCAAATTGCTGCATAAAAAATCTGCACTTCAAAAGGGGCGACGGTGGATAACATTACCTTGTTTCATCAATTTTACAATAATAGCGAAGTCCGTCTGAAATCTGAATACATCTTTAGTGCTTTCTTCTAAATTGCAAACTGCAAGCTAAACTGTAATCCCCAGATTTCTACTTCAATATCCCCTGCCAAGATTGGTTTAAATAACTTTCCCTGCTCTAATTCCGCCAGATGCCATTCTCCTCGGCCCATCAACATTCATATTCTGCCATTCCATTTCAGGAGGCTCCCAAGCAAGAAAGACCTGTACTTCCAGTTGGTTTTCGAGAATAGGGGAACTGGCATCCAGCCAACCTCCCACAGATACCAACATGTGAAATCAACAGGTTACTCCTTTCAAGATTATCGCATTACAGGTGTTTTTCTTTAAGGATTAGCCAGCATTCCGGCCATATAATCCAATAAAGGCAGTAACGAGCTGGTTTGGCACTCTGATGTCTCCCAAATGCTTTGAGCTGTGCTGCAATCTCTCTCAATATATGAAATATAGATTCAACGGGTCAATGCCGTAATTGGCATACAGCAATTTTCCAACAAAAGCTCCAGCAAGAGCCAGGCCGTTTGCCGCCTTCAAAGAAGAGGCCATATGCAGACACTAAAGTGAACATTTCAAGTGTGTCCCCCATAGATGTGTATTACTGACTGATCCAATTACACCGCCAGGATCACAGGTAATAATCGCACCAATTTCTCTGCGCACGCAACTGCAAAATGTTTAAAAATAAAAAATAACAAGTAGTTCTGAGAGTGCAAGGACCATATGTCAGTTACCGACAAGGTACTTTTCTCTACTGTGCAACCCTATTGAATAACAGAAATAAATTTGTTGCGATAACTTTGTTGCTTACTAATCATGTAAGGTAAATCAGACAATTATATGCATTGTAAAGATAGTACAGAAAGAGGGGCACCAAGACTTGAAAACCTTATCATATTCAGGATAATAATGTATAAGACAACAATAATCCAAGATGATCTCCACCAAACTGAAGGTGCAGACTATATATAAATAGTAGTAAAGTAAAGAGGCACACCACAATAACCATATCAGTCTATTTTCCTAAACGCAATACATTTACTTCTAGGATGAAAAAGAAACAGAAAGACAACCAGATGTGCAGATATAGAATCAGAAAAGTATGAAGTCATAAATGAAAAAATAAAAATAAAAATAAAGATTTCTTTTCATTTTTAGAGAGAGAGAGAGAGAGAGAGAGAGAGAGAGAGAGAGCTAATGTCCTTTTATCAAACCCATATCTATTTATAATATTCACTGCTTACAAACACATTGCATAGATAAAGCTACAAATTAGAGACCGGTCTAGACTTATTTGGCCCTCCTCTTTCGCATAAAAGTTATTTGCGACCCATAAAAAGGAGTTTCATCTCCAGAAAGCTCTTTGAAGGCTTATCTGGTCCATGCTCGCTCAGAGTTTGGTAATGTAGCTGATACAAAGCTACAGATGTAGAGAAAGATCAAGATTTGTTTGGTTTTCCTCCTTCACATTAGAAGCTATTCCTGATCCTGAAAAGCAGTTCTCTGAATCTTTAAAAAGAAGAAGCTCTCTCTTTGGAGGCTTATCGCTTTCCATTGACGGTGCATTCATGATCTCAGCATTTCCACCTCCTTCACCAAAGCAGTGTCTTTTACCTCCTATAGAGTTTAATGCAGTTTGTGTCTTATACAGGCCAATTTCACCTTGGCGTGAAGATTGACTGAGATGTGGAGGCTTATCCGTTTCCATTGACAGCTCAGAGTTGATCTTAGGCCTTTTTAGTGCATTCATCATCTCAGCACTTCCTCTGGCTTCATGTAAGGAGCACCGCTTCCTTTTCTTAGAGGTTAAGACAGTCTCTGTCTTACACTGACCGATTTCGCCTTGGCCAGAAGATTGACTGGGATGTGAAGGCAAGGAACCACCAGTACTAGGTTCCTTGAAGCCAGCTGACTGATTTGAGCGGAGATCTGAATCAAGATCAGTTACAGCTTTCACATGATATGAAATTATACCATCAATGTGAGCCTGAAGGTATGGCATACCATCCATAAAAGATTGAAATTGATCATTATTAAGCTCACAAACACCATTTATGACAAAAGAGAATGATGGGCCGGAAGGGATACCAGTTGGTACTGCGGTAAAACAGGATGCAGCCATAAAGGATAAAGGTTTAGAATCTGGGATTTTGGCATGACCACTGCTAGATGAAAATTTTGGAGGCATGGTGCTCGTATTGTTCTCATAGGACTTGCTCACAAACCTCACATTCACCTGGCTATTTTGATTGGAGTAGAATCTCTTGGAGAAATTCAAAGGAGAGGTTAACTTACCAATGAGATTACTTGGATTGCTCCCAGCAACTCCAGAAAATATTTCAGGATGGAGCATGCTGAAAGGATGAGCATTGTGAGTTGTAATTTCTGAGTTGCTGAAATGGCTAGCATACCTCTGGCTCCTCTTTGCGTTGATCTCTTCCTTATGAACCTTAAGATGACCTCCTAGAGCCTGGCGATTTTGTAACACCCTTTTGCAATAGAAGCAGTGGACGCCCACATGTTTCTCTGCCTTTTCTTTCTTAGGGGTTAAACGGAAATTCATTGTTGAAGTGAAAACAGCAACCCTTAACAGCGCCTTTGAGAAGAAGAAGAAGAAGATAGAAGTATAAGCAAAAACAATGAAGCGGTGAGGAAGAAGCCTTGCTTCTTTTCTCTGTTATATCAGTGTGTGGGGATGCTACAGAACCTATTGATAAAGGAGATATTTGGAAAATGACAAATCCTCATAAAACTCATTTAAGAATAGAAGACACGTTCAACAAATAAGATATAAAAAAGTTGCCACGTACAGCTCATGCATTGGAAACATTAAATCAATCCTATCGGCACAAATATATATAAAGGAGAGCCATTAATACCCAACAAACCAACAACCAAGCGCAATCCCACTAAGTAGCGTTAGCTGTATGAATTCTAGAATGCTATTGCGCTCGATTTTGCGCCATGGCTTCCCTTAGCTCCAAGTATTCCATATCTTTTCTTAAAGTCTATTTCCAAGTCTTCCTAGGTCTTACCACCTCTTTTACCCTGAGCTTCTGTCTCATAGTCGCATCTTCTAACCAAAGCATCTATAGGTCTTCGGTTCAAGTGTCCAAACCACCGATTTTCTCTCATCTTATCTTCAAATGCGGTCACTCCTACTTTACCTCAGATATCGTCGTTCTTAATCCTATGTTTCTTGCGTGCCTACACATCCATATGCATTCTCATCTGCACTACACTCACCTTTTTGCATGTATTGATTTTAGACCGCCCAACACTCCATGTCATAAAGCATTGTTGGCCTTATTATCGTCGTGTAAAATTTTTCCTAGAGCTTTAGCAGCATATGACGATCACACAACAAACTCGATGCACTCTTCCACTTCATCCATCCAACTCGTATTCTATGGTTGAGATCTCCATCTAATTCTTTATTCTTTTGCAAGATAGATCCAAGATGACAAATCATCCGCTCTAATGCATAAGGAAAATAAAATTACATGAGTAGTGAACTCGGTGCAGAAGAACTGTCATAGACCTTGTTATACATTGGGTAATAATTGCAGCTCTATGACAGTTATTCTGCGACATGTTTGCTGCTCATGTAATTTTATTTATTTAATTTTTTTTTTTTTTTGAACAAATCAATTTATTTTTCTTAAGCATTAATGACTCTTCTTCATGCAGATGTCCATAAAGAAAACTAAAAAAACAAAATTAGCAAGATAACTGGAAATTGCAACCCCCCTGCTATGGAAACTCATAAAGCTAACTGATAGCAGCTTTCCAATTAAGCCAAATAACTGAAAATGACAAATTCTTAAAATCTGTAGGCCACAATAAAGACCATACTCTTGTAAAAAAATTTAAAAACCCGTAAATTAAAATTAAAAACTACACATACCTTTGCTTCACCAGTTGATCTAGAGAAGCCATAAAGCCCCTTTTTTCACGCCATTCTTCACTGCTGGAGTATTAAGCCAAAATAACATCATTTTCACATGAATGATAAGCATCATACCCCTTTTCTGCACTGCTCCTTTTGAGGGTAAGAATATACGACATACAAAGGATGTCAAACTTACTCCAAACCATAACAAGCCCAAGCAGTTGGGTTTTATGTAGTTCTCTTCAACATCGTTCAAAATGCAAAGCTTGAACCATTTTGGGTTGGACTCAACTTGTTTTCAGTAGTCTTTTCATAACCATTTCGAATTTTCAAATGGTTTCATGTACTATACTTGAAATTTTTCCAGCAGGCTCAGAAGGCTTCAAGTAAAGTACTTCAAAACTTTTTGTTTCAGCTACATTACTTGAAGTTATGTCAAACTAGTTTCAAAGCTTAATAAAAAGTGTCAATGAAAACATGAAAAGTTTACAACAGTAGAAAAGATGAAAATGCATTGTCTCTAGATAATAATTTACTACAGTTTAGGGCTATCCACGCCCCAGTTCTAGGCAGCAAACTCACTTTCGGAATTAAGATGAAGAGTAGTAGGGTTCTTGCAAGTTTTACGGTAATGACCAGTTGAGCCACATTTTCCACAATTCCGTGTAGACTGCTCTTCTCCACGAGACATTTTTTTGGGTTGAGACAGAGTTCTTTCCTTCTTGCACCTTTCACTTGACCTCTGTTTAGAAGAAAGTTCTGGTGATGATACCCCAATATCTTTCAATGCACAATCCAAAACCCTCTTAGCTGTCGAATAACTTATATTCACTCCAAGATCTTTCTGCACATCCTCAATGATATTTTTCGGTTTGCATTGGCACAAAACACCCTTGTATTTCGACTTTACAAACTCACCAATGAGCAAGCTGCTTGCTTGTCGGTGACTGCCATTTTTTGCATCTAATGAACTGAGATTTTTAGCATCTGATGAACAAGAGTGGCGACTATCATATTTTGTTATCATGAAATAATCCGAGTTTGGCGACTTGGTTGCATGGACTTTCCATGTGCAGTTGTCGTTCACACATTCAACAGCAAATCTCTTTCTCGTGGACCTCTTAACTTTGAACTCAAAACTTCTTTTAATTGCAGCAAGGGCTAACATCTTCTGTAAATCCTTTTTGCTCTTGTACACTGAACCTAGTTCCATATCTCCCCCTGCTTTCAACCCCGAATTCAGCATCCTATTAACCGTTTCTTCTGTGAGTTTACGCCAAGACCGAGCTCGAGGTAGAGATTTAGGAGGATTGAGATGATGATCACAAAATTGCATATTTTCATGATACATATTATCAAATCGCCCACTGTCATGAGGCAAATCATCAAATTGCAAGTTTGGCTGAGGCACCTCAGAAAGTTGCAGGTTGTTTTGTTCCACATCAACTTCTATATTATCATGCTCCTTATCATTTTCGAAATCATCATGGATCAATCCATCAACACAATCCGAATTTGCTTGAGTCCCTGAACTGAAGTCCATTGGCATTCGACTGGAAATGAAGTCAAAGGAATTTTGTTCTTCATGTTGAGTGTGGGGATCTAATGAATGAGATTTTGTAGTATGGGTTGCAAGGCCGATTGGAGCTTGTTGATTACTTCCACTTCCAGAAGCTAATACCCTGCGTTCAAGAGTAATGCACAATGGAATTTTCCAGTCCCGTGCAACACTCTCACAAATAAATGCAGCCACGTCGTTATCATCTACTACTTCTGCAGGATACGGATGAGATTTTCCACTATATACAGCTTTCATTATAATTCCATATTCATTTGGGTCGACCTTCATGAGACCATACAGCCTATCTCGAAGCTCCTCATAAGTAAGTTTTTCAGAAACAACTAATGCCTTAGTTTTGCCACCCTTATATAAGGAATTCACCCACTTCCCATCATATTTGATCAAAATTGTCAAATTAGTCATTTTCCTGAAAGTAAACAACTTTAACAATCATATAAAAGTAATACTTAACAAAACAATTTCAAAACAAATTTTTCAGAACTACATGCTCGAGATGGCTTCTACATTGTAGTAGGTACTCAAGGGGGCATCTAACAACACTCCATAAGCAGTTCAACAATTCTATGATTTGATTGGACAGTTAAGTGATTAAAAGGCTCTCTGTACCAATCTGAACCAGGATCAGCCTGGTCAGCAGCCTAACAAAACCAGTACAATGCGAGTGTTGAAATACAAATGCAGAACTCATTTGGTCTATACAGTAATAAGTTTGTAGATGAATAAGTTGTTAACTGGGATTAAAATGTTGCACACAAATAAATACACAATATCAATCCAAAAGGGCACAAAAGAATGCAACTTATTAGAGAACTTACGTTCAACAATCTACCGATAACGGCCTACCAGCTCTTAGATGTGCAAAAACAAAGAGAGAATTGTCATTGGCTACAACTGGGTAAGTTCTTCCATCAGGGGCTACCTTTTGCAAACAAAGATGATGCTTTTGAAACAACGTAGCTTGTGATTTCTGCGTCATAAACACTAAATCCTAACTGAATCTACAGCATAGCGTTTCATTTGTTTTGGTGCAGAAAGGGGGCAAAATCGCTAAAGAAAATCAATTGCATAATTTAATCCAACAAAATCAAAATTTAACATCAATAAAGAGTATGAGTTTTACCAACGGCGAAAGCTACAGAGTGTTGCTGACGATGGGGCGGTGGCGCCCGCGGTGGCGCCCGCGGCGGAGCCGACGGAGTCGTTTGGAGAGCTTTAGGTATGGAGCAAGCTGTCGTACGACGGGCGTCGAGCAAGGCGCCAAGGCGTGGTGGATTTTGGTGGATTTTAGATAAGTAACCTGGAAATGGATATTGAACCTCGTGGGTATCGGTTTTGGGCCTTGAGCCTGGCCATGAATGAAATTGGATCACAAATTCTTTTAAGGCCCATTTATGAAAGCCTATAGAATTAATCGACACCACAAATTCTTTGAAGGCCCATTTATAAATGCCTATAGAATTACCCAACACACCTCTCTCCAGAAAGCTTACTAGTACTGTCCCATTAGTTATAGGGGTGTGATATCCACACACCCTATTTTACTTCTCACACACTTTTTAATTTTCAACCGTTGGATCGGATGAATTGAAGAAGATCAATGGACAGAAATAATTGGAGAAATTTTTATCCTCGCGACATATTTTCTATGTTATCGAAATACAGCCTGGTACACCACATCACAAAATAATTGGAGAAATTTTTATTTTCAAGTATTCTTCCAATGTGATGTACCGGACAGGCTCCTGAGTACATTGAAAAATCTCCCCCTCCTCACCAATAGTCTAATCCTAGTAGCTTAGATTGTACAAATAAATACTTGAGAAAAAGTACTCTTATTTGTGAAATGATGTCGCAAAGTTGGATTGATTTGAAGAAAATAAGTGATTGACTTTCACGCAGAAAGAGAACACGAGAGTGAAAAATCGCCAATTAGGAATGATAGTTCCACCATTGCCCCTTTTGTGTCAAATCATCAAAACATGAACCATACAAACACAACCCCAAATGTAGAGTTGGCCGTCTAATAATAATTAGCATATTTTGTTAGTGTAGGGTTGAAAGAATACTTGAATTTAGGACTCTCAAGGACAAGGATTTTGGGTGGAGGACCAATTGCTGTTTTAGGTGGTTGAGTGGCTCCAGGTTTGTCCAATTGGGTAGGCCATTGGAAACACAACTTGATTCTTTGTTTGTTTGTTTCAGTTACTCCAAAGACCAAACTAGGCCCCAAGCGAGGCTATTGCAATCCTTGAGCTCAGTCTTGTCAGCCCACCATAGTTGTCGAGTGCTCTCATACTATCGTGATCAATTCAATGTGATACATATGTGTTACCTTTATAATTAATTAATAATTATTAGCAATTGTACATGCGTTATGCATATGCTTATGAAAATTTTAAAAATAAAATTTACAAAGAGAGAAAATATAAATGACCGTTAAAACTTTTTGGTGATGACCTTTAAACGATTTTTAGTGCTAAAGAGATTATTTATATCTTTAGTGACTATTTTTGGATAACTATTTCGCCACTAAAAATTTATTTTATTCTGGAGTAAAACGTGAAAGAGAAAATGGGGTAACTGATATGGTTACTTTTCTTTAATTTTGTTGATAGGGTTAATTTGATCGTTTTACACTATTTTAATCGACGAAGAAGATTTTGTTAATAGGTCGTTTAAGTGTTGGTTCTTCATAATTAACTTAATATTATGGCAATCATTTACCAAGTTTTTGTGTGTCTAGGCATCAAAATCTGGTCGAAATGATTTGAGAAGTGATCTGAGACCACACTATGTGGATATTTATATATTTGCACCAAATCATATTTACAACTAATTCAAAACGTCCTTTCAAACTATTGATGATAAATACGAGCACGAGGTTTTGTCAACCCCATATTTGTCGTTCTTTCCGACTCAAAAATACGCCAAATATACTTTACGATAAAGACAAGTTCTATTAATTATGTACACTTTATTAATATCTAAATTTGGATTCGGTACAACTGAACTAGCTTTACGCTAAACTCTATAACATCTCCTCTAAATAATTGTTCATAAGTTGACGCATTTTGTCAAATCTGCCAAGTGGTCACTTGCTAAATGGAAGTCAATTTCAGCTTATATGATTTGCCCTTTATTGCTTCGAGTCCTGAATCGGTAGATCTCCTATCCTATACCTCCAAGTCCTAACCCTGAATTCCAAGGCAAATGCAATTCATGCACGACTCACTTTTAGCAGCAACTTCTCCTAATATTAATTAGATATAATATATACTGCTTGCATGCAGATTATACAACATATTCGGCATGCAAAGCCCTAGAAGAACCAGATCGAATTCCCTTCTTAGCTAGGGATCCAGTTCTCTGGCAATCTATACTTTGGCATTAGGGTTTAGCTAGGGTCATTGCAATGGAGACCATTGGCACAATTCATCCACTGTTTTAGGGGTTTTGGGTTTCAACGAATCAATTACATAATGCAATTCATGATCATGATCACATCATATCGTGCTTCTGTAAAATATAGTAATAAGTAAATGATTTGGCAAAGTACGTACGTAACTGTAATTTCCAAAAAAAAGGGGGAAGAAAGTTCCATCATTTTTGTAAAGGATAAAGAATTTCTTTGTCGAAAGTAGTTGCAAGAATTGAAGTTTCTACAAGTGGAGAGAGGACTATCGATCTCAATGATCAACTAGATGTGAGTCTGGTGACAACACGACCAAGGAAAATAATTTTCACATATTTTTTATCTCTCTTTGCACATTCGCGTTTAATTATGATCTTTATATCAAATAAAATTAAAAAAAAAAATCAAGAGATAATTATAGACAAAATGTGTCAAAAAGAAAAACAAAATAAAGGTGCAAAAATCATTTTCCTTTTGCAAGTGGAGAGAGGACTATCAATCTCATTAATCAGCTAGAGTGGTGACAGCATGACAAGTGACATGGGTGTTTATATAGGATTATATATGTGGCATTAATGTGGCTGCCCTGCCCTAGCTAGGCAGCCTGTTGGGTGTGTGGTTTGTCACTGTTTTTGCCAGTTATATGCTGCAGCCACTTAAGATGTTGATGTGGGATTTCTTTGACGTTTATACGCCCCAACTTGGTTGCTCCAGAATGCTCGGATCCAATTGGAAATATATACAATCACCAACACTCCTTGTCCATTCAGCTTGGCTACACAAGCAAGTTATGGTCTCACTCTTCTGGTGAAAATTTTCTGCCAACTACTTGCATATATACGATCCAAAACAAACATGCATGCCACGTTCTATTGTTCAAAAATATTGAGTGGTTCAAATTCACATACTCACGATATAACGCATTTATCCGATAATATAAGTCTGCTGACAAGAGATATTACCCACACATGTATATAAGTTAATGATATGCATACATATATTTAAATATGTCGAAACTATATAAAGAAGTATAAACAGTGTCTTAGAGCATCTCTAATGATGCTCTCTTATTTTTAGTTCAATTTTAGCTAAAAACTAGAAAGTTACTTTAGAAGCTCTCTAAAAAAATTCTTCTCCAATGATACTTTTTAGTTTAGGGAGTCATAATGATTGTGGACTAATAAGAATAGAGTTTTTAGTTAAAATATTAGCAATTAATGCTAGGAGCTCTTCTCTCGTCCCTTAGATTTAGAAGGTGAATAAGGAGTGTGATTGGAGACGATTTTTTCCAAATTCTCTTTAAAATTTAGCTAAGAACTCATTTGAGATGTCCATTGAAGATGCTCTTACACTAATTAGGTTAATTGTAATAAGAAAGTAAAGTTAGTTGCATGGTTAGGTTGCATAAAGTGTAGGGGGGCAGTCAGCCCTATATATATTGACTCATGATTTATGTCTTCTAACCCCACCTGCCTAACTTTAATATTAAGATGCTTTAGCGTTTTCTATTCCCATATATAATCAGATCTCATTGGTCTGGTTCATGCACCTTGACAAGTCCTAGTGATTATATAGAAATACACATAAGTAAGCAAGCACAAAAGAAAAAACAGAAACGAAAAGTTAATTAGATTGGAAATTTAGCAAACTGATCGAGAAGGCTAAGAACTTTTAAGAGAGGCGTAGAAAAAGGGCGGTGGAAAAGTAACAAATCCTGTATATTGAATTCGTGAATTGCTCAAACACCTACAGAACAAGAATCTGACATATATCATTCGAATATTTTGTGTTGCAATGAGTCCCAACCGGAAAAACACACCATGAGAGTTTTCTTAAGAAAGAGTCAATTTCCACAAACATAAGATGGTTTTTGATATCAAAATTTCCAACCACTTCACCTTCATATTCCTTTTCGTCATACATCTCACGTGCTTCGAAATTCAATCCTCACCCTCGAGTATGTAAATTCGTTCTGCGTAAAAGGTTAGTCAAATTCTTCTAGAAAAAACAGATTCCAAGATCAATTTGGTATGCAATTAAAGTGCTTATTCCACAAGCCATTTGTTAGACCTTGGTCAAAGGGCAAGACATAGAACAGTCTACTAGAGAGAGAGAGAGAGAGAGAGAGAGAGAGAGAAGAGAAAACGAACTTGAGTATTAATTCTGTTCTATGGCATCAAGTATTAGTTACTTAATCAAAGTGTGGTAAAGATTGGCAGGTCTTGGCAGTTGGTAGTTTATTCAGATCAGCTGCGGGAATATGTTTTGTTAATTCATCCATGTGGGCCTTCTCCATGCAGTCAATTATTCTATCAGAAAAAAGAAAGACAAAGCGGAACACATGATTCGCATCCTAATATGCATACACTGTGCTCCAGTGAGCAGGGTTTGGTGCGTAAAAACTAGAAAGCTCGGAAAGGAGAGTTTGGCGGGGGTACTGTTCTCCACATACCTACATTTGCATAATCTCGACCTACCAAAATATTAAGAAAAAAATTAGGAAACTAAAGGGGTTGGGTCAAAAGGCAAGGGACTTTTCTTGATTCCAATAAAACTTACTTGGTGTGCGATATTACTTTAAACTTTTTTTAAGTAGTCAATCTTCATTATCCCACTTTTTGTATAAAATAACTAATTAACATGGGATATCATTCAACGATATAGCGAAAGAGGACCTATAAGTCTTCCTTAATTGCGTTGGTTAAAATAGAAAAAGCTTAAAACATATGTATGACAAACGCAAGTGGTTCTCTACCACAGTGGTGGAAAAAAGTGTTGTCCTTACACTACGACGTGGGCTCAAATCCTATTGGCTCTCTAATATAACATCTAATCTAACAAATTTATCGTTTGACAAA